AAAGCTCAAAATAAAGGTGGTGAAGGACAGTTACAAGCACTCCTGTGAAAGCTGAATGACAGCTTTAAAAAATCTTCAGAAATGGTAGTGGCATTGCTATCAATTCTCAATGGTGCTGCAGGACCTGTACATGCGTGTTTAGAACCTTTCAGGTAGAAAAATATTGCTTATAAAATAACTATGTGTTGAGGGATTAACTACAATCGCTACAAACATTCAAACAGAGAAAGAACATGGCGGGACAGGCTGACAGAAAGGTTACAGCCCGCCAAACGATCTCCACAGTTGTACAGAGGTAAACCAGAGCCGGCCACCTTGCCAGAAGAAAGCGAAGCGTCACCCCCCCTACCCAGTTACACGGGATCATCGCTAACCTTTGACTGAAGTGGAATTTCTTCCAAGGGCAAGGCTGCACACTTGGCCTGAGCTAAAGAGGGCAAAAAGCCCGACAATGGAATGTCTTTATGTGCAAGGACATTTCCACCCAGATGTGAACCAAGCCACTGCAAGCTCTTACACACATCTTTAAAGTGGCTACATTAAAAAGACCCTGAAATGGTTTTCACGATTTCGCACAAATAGATTGGGACAGTAAACCCTGTCCTAAGGGTCATTTACAGACTGATTTAAAGGGGCACAGACATGAAAGTTTCAGGTTGTCATTTTTCTAGGTCGAATGAAAGGCCAAGCCTTCAAAGGCCTAGAAAATGTACTGCTAACCGCGAGTGCATCCTAAAAATGCATGTACAACATGTTTTTGAAGGCTAGTATCAGTTAATACTGTTCCCTGACGTCACAACACAGCCTGAGCATCTCGCCACATGCTCACGCAAAATGTCGTGACATTTCCACGGCAGTTTCACATCGTGGCTCAGTTGGTGACGTAGAAGCAGCCTTTTTTAATGTTTTGTTGACACAGAAGCGGCCATCTAGGAAGTTTTGGTACCTGACATCATCACAACTAGCCAGAAGCCACCAGAGTTAGTACTGTAGCCTGACGTCAAGCTTATACCGATGTCAGTAAATTGGCCATGTGAAAAATTATTTGAATATCAAAATAAAATAACTTATCAGCATTTTCTGAGCTTCAAAATTGCTCAGAGCCATCTCTACATACAAGAAATTCGTATGGCAGTGTAACCTCACCTCCAAAAAATGGTGCCAGCAACCCTTTAGACTCTCTGCATATACTGCATAATCTATTACATCGCTTTAAAGCTACGAATTTCTGTGGATCACTGTGGCTCATCCAAACACATTTTCAACCGCCCATTTCAGTACGATATTCACTGGAAGTGGGACGTCACCTAGGCTCCACATCTGATTGGCTGTAGAATGCGAGTAAATAAGATCGGATGGTAGGATGGCGGCATCAGTCGGAGCAGATATCAACCACTTCATTATCATCGTGTCTGTTGCCAGACGGTGTGCATGCTGCCAAGCGCACTGGGCTATGACTTCCACGACTTGTGCGCAATTTGTCTGCGTGCAATCTCAGAGGTTACGACTGGGCGAGGATCAAATCGTCCAGTGCGCTCGTGACAGCTCTGTGGTCACCAGCGATACCGGCATGTCGCGTGAGTTGAGGAGGCAAGGCACAGGTGAGAAGTAGGGTATAATATAATTGTCTGTAGCAGCCTCGGTACAAGGCGTGCTACTGAAAGCCTAAACACAGACAAAATTTCAGAAAACCCTTTCAGGGTCCCTTTAAGGTGTATTCAGATGGGTGACAAATTCTCGCGGACAAAGGCGTAGTCAAGTGATGTCAACGAGAAGAACTACCCACAAATGTCGCCTGCTCACACAAATGACGTGAACCATAGCGTTTCATACCTAGAGGGGAATCTGGCGCTAGTGTCTATGCAAGCTCCTTCAGCGGCGCTTGTACCCCCATGAAAATTATGGGAGGCACAGGCTTCGCATTCGCTTTGGATGGATTACGTTCTCCAGATTCGCAACGCTTCTTTTCCGAGTGTAAAACAAAGTGATATGAACTCAGATTTAATTGAAACTTGCTTCATTTATTTGTATGCAATCTTTATTGCAAAAAGCTTTTGTGACGAGGAGGCAAGAATGAAACCTGGGCAAATTTAACCATCAGGGTACGCATCGCTCTGCAAATGCGTTAAAGATTTGGCATCAAGATTTAATGAATTATTTTAGAGAACACTTTGAAACAAACATGCCTGTTTTTTTCTCGAAACTATGTACTATTTATTTATCACAATAACAGTACAGTATTAAGTGAGGTACATTTATCATTTTGTCTTCTGCGAGGCTAGGTGCATCTGTCCCAGTGCTCTGCCCCCAACGCACCTCTGTTTTTGTTGTGAAGTCAAGTCAGTAGAGCGTGACAGTGCGTCTACTTAGCTTCGTCATCGCTTTGAGTCAATTTCAAACGAGTATACACAAGATGCACTCGTGAAAAACATGAGCTCGAGGCAATATCCTGCACTGGCATGAGACACATCTATGCGCAGTGGTGAGTGGACGATGCTTCGTTTAAACTGTCAAATACGACTCATAAAGCTTCAACGTCGCAGCAAATCAGGATGTCTAGTGGTCGCCAGCCTTTTCGAATAACGACACTGCTTCAGACTTTTTTACCGCACCCCCCTACCAGCGCTGTGCGAGAAGGAAACTGAGACTAGAAAAAAGTGAGCAGACAGTTCGCTAGCCAACACTATCCAATCTGAAGCCTGTACTTCCCATAATTCCCATGAAGGTACACGATCACAGCGCCAGATTCCTCCCTAGGTATTATTGTATGAAACTCTACGACGTGAACGGAGGGGGAGACCGGTGTTACCAGATTATCCTGGTGGATTGTACCGCTCATTTTCACCAGCAGCTCAGCATGAAACCAGCAGCACTGTACCAGTCTCTACTAGAACAAGTTCAACAATGTGGTCAGACGGGTTCGTAAAATTCTGCCGTATCCAGCACCGCAGCGGATAGCTTGACTCTGTAGGGAAAAAGTTCCCCATCTCCTCCGAGCAGGCATCAGGAGCTCGCGCTCACCAATTCGGGACATCATTACCACGTGACCCGCAATCTCCGTGACTCTCCCAAATATTTCTCCGAGTGAATAGCCTTTTACTGGTCAATGCACATTTTGTCACTTAAAAACGTGCACATGCCATGTATATATCGAGTACCAGTATGATATTTACTTGCAATCATTCATGTCTGTCTATGGCACTGCTGCCGCCCAGAAAGACAATAAATCAAAACCTTTGTCAGCCTTTTTTTGTCATAAAGTAAAGTGTGGGACTGGGCTACTTGGTAATCCATTATTAATCAAACTTCTCAGCGCAAAAACTTCTGACAACTAACACAAGAGACGAGGACGAGCGCAGACTTTTAACTAATTTATAACTACTACGACGCACATATATATGTTACAACAAAGACGATAAGATCACTTGTTCAAGCAGAAACCAAACAAAAAAACAAAAAACACACAAAACAAAAAAGTCACAAGAGACTGAAAGAAACCACGAGCTCGCACCGAACCCTCTCATGCCGAATTTAAAAACGCCAATTCTTTTTCAGATAGCACTATTGATGGTTTGCTGATGCAGCTGCCTCGAGCGATTGCTGCAGCTTCGATTACAGGTCTTGTGCCTTCGTTCGGGTGGGACGCGAGAACCCTTGTCTTTTCGAATAATGGCTGGCACCCACATTCGGAACAATGAGCGACCAAAAAACCGTCCCGTCCTGCACTTTTTACTTTCTGGCAATGTTCCTGAAGCCTTACATTAAGGCCCTTGCCTGACTGACCTACATACTCAAGTCCACAAGACAGAGGTACCCCATAAACAATCCCTGTTGCACGCTCAATAAACATTTTACGGTGCTTAATCTTGCAGCTGCTCACGGTGGTTTCTACGGGACTAGTTTGGACAGATAACCAAGACAATTTATTCGGTTTGGGCGTGTCAGGGGTTTTTTCCACACCGTTATCTGAAAAAAAATTGGCATTTTTAAATTCGGCACGAAAGAGTCCGGTGAGTGCTCGTGGTTTCTCGTTGTCTCTTTTCACTTTTTGGTTTTGTATTTTTATTTTTTGTTTTTTCGTTTCTGCTTAAGCAAGTGATCTTTTCGTCTTTTTTGTAACATATATATATGTGCGTCGTAGTAGTAATAAATTAGTTGAAAGTCTGCGCTCGTCCTCGTGTCTTGTGTTAGTTGTCGGAAGTTTTTGCGCTGAGAAGTTTAATAATTCTTTTGTCACACACTAAATTTTCAGTGTTCTGTGAAAAAAAGATATGCTGAAGTTTTACGGCACAAAACCATGATATGATCAATGAATGGGAAGGCTGCGAAAATTTCGACCACCTCCAGTTCGTTAACTTACACCTAAATCCAAGTACAGGGTGAAGTCATAAGTTCACAGGCCACACTTCTATAGGAATACATGGGATAGCGACCTGAGAACTTAAGACTCCCCCCCTGTGCATGGGTATCAAGACTTTTGCTCCATCGACACATGGCCGCCATGGCGAATCCCTCGAACCTCACGTCAGCAATGAAGCACCATGACCACTACACCACCGCGAAGGGTCAGCCATGTCCTCTGGTGATACAAATTTCGCATAACACGACTATTCTTCGGGACCCTGCATAATTCAAGTCGCCAAGGTTTTACTGCAAACCAGCTACAATGAGCCCATCTGTAACGACTTCCATTTTGTGCCAATAATTATAAAATACATGCGCCCTGTTAAGCCTAGCGAAAAACGTCACAAACCTGCATTCAGTGAAGGGCAAAACTCGCTCAAAGCAATAACCAATCTGGCAGTCTAACTGAACATAAAAGTACCAATGATTTGATTAGCAAATAAGATGTGGGTGCTATGGTCTGCAGTGTGAACCTTCACACAGAGGTGCACACCAGCTGTCCTGTCCTCTTGTTTAATTACCTGTTTGTGCATTTCACTCAGCGCAGCTACAATACAATTACGATGTGAAAAAAAATTACAAGGGAAGACACTGACCGGGTTGCACTGGTTAGGGGGCCTGCACACCACACGGCCCATCACTTGCACCACAGACTCGAGCGGCAGGCACTCTAGCTGGGCTCTTGCTGACTCAGCCTGGAAACGCAGCAATGTGCAATGTTTGTGAATAAACTACAGCATGATGTATGTGCATGCACTCACACACATACAAAGACAGCAGAATATTGAGAATGCCCCAAGCACTACAGTGTTGTTTGTTTTTTTCTACTGCCTGCAACAGGTTCACACCAGCGCATCCCACTGTCATGCTCAATGTACTTTTTATTCAGTGTAAATTAATTGGCAATGCACCCAAAGCATTCAGATCAAGGTGTTGGTATGGCTTTCATTTGCATTGGTTTGAAAGATCTTTTCATTCATTCCCGGATGTCACATTGAAAAAAAAAAAACACAGATTCGATTAGAACTTGGGTTCGACACCCTCCATTTTCCTCCAGCTCAGGAGTAATTCATACAAACAAAATTTACAGTAGATCAGAAGGGACGTCACATGATAGCCTTTCAACAAATTACGCCATGCTACAGCCGAATCAAGTTACACGCCAGATCGCTCAGTTACATTGACCAGATTCCGATTGCACTCACAATTTTCTTACGCCAGATACAGTTAAACCTGCTAATAACAAACTTCCATATAAAGAATTATAACAAAGCTTTTCTATTCCACTCCACCGCTCCATAGAAGCGCATCTATTTTCGACCTTTATGTAACAATGTAACAGCGGGAAACAACCTAGATTTAAATAATTTTCCTCATGAACAATCTAGAAATTTCGACCCAGATTTTGTCATTTTGGCATGAGCATGCATCTTCTGCCTGTACCTCGCTGCCGACGGAGTGCGAAGGGCAGGTGGGCCTGGTTCCCAAGAACTGGCTTTGCCGCCGCTATTGCCACCACTGGCGCATGTGCGGATGTGCCCTTCCCTCCAAACCAAAAACAAACAAACAAAACTAATTTTGCGTTGGCAGTTCCATGCTTTTAGTTAGCGTTGCATATGTGGGGCTGTGTTGGATATGAAGGGAACTTGACCGAATAGTTTTCCACACCATCTGTGTCGCTTTCCCTGCCACCATCAAGGGGATGTCAGATAAGACGCTGATGGAAACTCTCCGAGACCATGGTGATGACAGATCTTCGGAAGTAGACTCCTCGCACGCTTCCGTCTTGCGCCGCGAGTTCATAGACTCGTATCGTTGACGATTAGTTCTGGCAACAACAAGATGGCACATTGAACGCAATGCAAATGAACACGATAGCAAAAAATTGTGATGTTAGAAGAAGTAACACTGGCAGCCAACTATTTCGGATCCGATATCGCGAAACTCTTACAAAATGCTGGTGGGAGCGAATACGGCCGCTTCAGGGCAAAGTGCTCTTTTCACACATTCCCTTCGCATTAAAGGTGCACAGCTGATCTTTGCCAAAATAACATGTGTGCCAGCAATTTGGACCGCCCTTAATATCAAAGTTCATTGCTGCTACTCGAGCCCACCTCCCCGCGTTTTTTCTCGTGCTCGTTCTAGACGGGTGGTTTTCTTTCTGTTTTAGATCGACGACAATTCTAACATGCCAGGGATGTTATCTTAAGCACTTTCCAGATGATAGGGATGGGCGGACTCATTTAATCTCTGCTTCAGCAGCGCTTCACGGACTTTTACCGGCTTGTGAAAGTTAGGATGCGCTACGGTATGTTATCAATTTACACTTGTTACAGAGGATGGCGACGATAGCAAAAGCCCGCCGAGTGTTCACATTGGTATCGCAATAATAATGCAGTTTTTTAACCAGTAAATAAGTGTTTTGGGTGAGATCTGCCTTCAGTCCCCTTTTTGTTTGCTTTGTGCATTTATTTTCCTAATTTTGTGCCGAACCTGCATATATCGAAATCCTGTTCATAACGAATTTTCCACAAATTTATTTATTTTATTATATCCAGCTTTAACTGTATAAAAAGCATTTTTCAAAGCATCATACTTATATAACAAATGCTTCATACACAGCTGTGGTAAAAATATTGCCACGTTCCTTCCTCTAGTTTTCTGTTCACCCCGTTACGCTGTCCATGATTCTCCATGCAAACTGCGTCTACAGTGTTCGAGAAGCCTAGGATTGTAGTAGATCATTTTTTTGAGATTACGGCCACTTCGTGAGCATTTCAGATTACTCTGGAATCTACCTCACCACTAGCGATAACGCTACAATGTTCGATGGCGAGTGTATAAATGCCAACACACTTGAACGCAGCCCACGTCGCAGAGAAGACACCGACACCAACCAGAAACAGCGAACAAGCCGCCAGCAGCAAGGTCTACCACTAGAGTACGGGCCTCTACAAGAAAAGGCACGGAAGACCAAGGCCATGACGTCAACTGCGGCAACAGTCACAACCGCTGCGTCACAGCTCGTGATCGTCATGCATCAGCCCAGGCAACCACCAACTTTCCGCGGGTCATCGTTCGAAGACCCGGAGACCTGGTTAGAGACATACGACCGTGTGGCCGGCCTCAACCACTGGGACACAGAAGAGAAACTTCATCGCGTGTACTTCTACTTAAAAGACACCCCAAGGATCTAGCTCGAAAATCGGCAGTCTGCGTTACAAACGTGGGATGTCTTCTGTGATGCATTCCTGCAAACGTTCACGAGTGTTGCTCGCAAAGAGAGGGCCACTGCTTTGCTAGAGACCTCGGTACAGTTACCAAACGAGAATGTTGCCATTTTCACAGTAGAAATGACCCAAATGCCTGAGGAGAAGAAAGTTCATTTCCTCATGCGAGGGGTCAAACAGGAGCTCTTCACGGGATTGATGAGAAACTTGCCGAAGAGCGTCCAAGATTTCCTCTCAGAGGCGACGACTATTGAAAAAACCATCGAAATCCGCACACAACAGTTCAACCACGGCTCGGCTCCAGGCTATGCAGAGGTACAACCACTATGCTCCGATGATCTGCGCGAGACCATAAGGGCTGTAGTGCACGAAGAACTTCGCGAAATGTTTCCGCCAAGCCAGCCTCAACTTTCGTCGGGAGCAGTCAGAGAGGAAATCCAGCAATCAATGGGTATCCCTGAGACATTGCAACAGCAACCTCAAACCATGCACTACGCTGCTGCTGCCCCAATGCTATACTCCACGTCTACGTCAAGAGGTCATGCCGCCACACTTTCGTCGCCATACACAGCCACCGCCGCCAATGCTATACCGTTCATCCGCCGACCAGCGCAATGCTCCCAGAAGAACCGACATGTGGCGCACTTTTGACCACCGGCCTCTCTGCTACTACTGCTGAGAAGGTGGCCACACTTACCACTGCTGCCAGCACCGCCAGATGGGACTACGTGGTTTCGCCATCGATGCACTGTGTCCACAGTGGGGTGAAAGACCATGTGACATCAACTGTCTCTCCAAAACCCAGAGGACCCCCATAAAAATCTTTTTGTTCACCTTTACCCGGCCACTAAATGTCACCGAACAAACCGTTGTCAGTACACTGGCCCAAGCCGGGCCAGTCGCCTAGCCCGTATCAGAAAAACTAAGGAAGGGTGCGGTGCGGTTGCTGCACGACAAACTGCCGAAGATCCTCCGCCGCCGACGACAATGCCATGACAAAACTTCAAGAACCCGCTGTCACCTCAACTCTGGGTAACCAGGTGTGCGCAAAAGCAGATGAACGGCAACAGAAAAGAATAGACAGGGACAAGCGCAACTCGCCCAGCTACAAGTTTTACGTCACCTCAACGTAGCCCCGACGTCGAAACTTCGCGATCAGAAGACGTGATTACACAACTTCAAAACAGTGGTGCAAACCATCATAGCCGTGATCTGATGCCACGACCCAACAGTAACACCAGGCGACGAACTAGCGACCTCGACATTCTCATTGACGACCCCATCCCCCCCCCCCCCCCCCGTCACAGCTATCGTAGATATCGCGGCCGCTATTCCATCATCAGTTCACCGCAAAGTTAAAGTTAGGACAGCCTGGGAAGGCCCCGAAATTCGTACTACTGGAGGTCACTTAGTTACGCCGTCAGGAATCTATACAGCCAGAGTCACCAATAACAGCAAGATTTACCTGCAAGCTTCGTCGTACTACAGCATTGCTCGAGAGATGTCATCCTTGGTATGGACTTCTTAAACCTCCATGGTGCCGTCATCACCATGAAAACAAAGTCCATAACGCTATCCATAGAAAAAGCACTGCCGCCGCACACGTCGTCAGGAAAGCACACCTTGAATGTAGTGGAAGACCAAGTCACCATTCCTCCTCGCTCCAGTGTCAGCATTTCCGTCGGCACTCAAGAAACAACAGACTTGCAAGGCGTCGTTGAAGGCGACCAACACCTGTTAATAAACTGCGAAATTCGTGTCGCTCGAGGAATAGTCGAGCTGCCAGGAGGGAATGCAAAAGTGATGCTCACGAACTTTAGCAATGAGTACAAGCACGTGAGCAAAGGCACGACGGTTGCCTACATCGAAGAGATACTGGAAGCCAGCAGTGCTTTCGCCCTCACCGATTCCGCCGAATCTACTCTGACGACTGAAACCCTTCAACTAGCTTTCGACAATAATCCGAGTTTTCCGACGCACAAACAAGAGCAGCTTGGAAACCTGCTCCGGAAATACAAGAACTGCTTTTTGTCGTCACCAAGAATTTGACAGACCCATGTTGTGAAACATCGAATCATAATAGAATAAAATGCCAGGTGTTACGAGCCGCATCGGTGGCCGCAGCGAACCTAGTAGGTAGCATGGAGCTGGGTGGTGGTCGTTATTCCGCAGGTCACGGGGACGTTCAGAACTCTAGAGAGCTGAGGCAGAGGGACAAGCGTAGAGGAAAACTTAACAAGACGTTTGCAACATGTTGGACAGTAACGTCCGAACGACGACTCTTCTCTCGACTCTCTCCCGTTTCCTTCTATGGCGGGCTGCTCCCGCTGCTTTGCTGTGCAGTTCCGAAGATAGGGGCGGAATGTCTCTTCGGGGAACCAACCACTCATGGAGAGCACAACACAAGTATCGCTTCACACACGTGGCAGATGCACGTGGCAAACGCGCGGGGACTCGGAAGCGAC